AACAATCACCTTTGGATGGCATCTATAAGCCATCTCCAATAACTATCCATCATTTCTTCAAATGACATCTTTAAGCCCATTCCCTCCATAATCAACCACAACATCATCGAGTGCAAATTTATGGGCACTCTAGTGTTCAATCATCTTCCACCTTCAAGTCACGAATGGCAGATTTGCCAATCTAACTCTTCAGGTGTAAGAAGATTGAACAGGGGCAGTTGTTGTACACCAAAATTTGCCCTCTCAATTCTCAAGGCTTTTCTCACGAAGATTCTCAGGATTTAAGCTGGCACAAGTACATTGGGGTTTTCCAGTACCAAAATTAAAAGGAAACTGTCAAAAAGGGAGAAAATAGATAAAAATAACATTTTGACAAATTTGGAGAAAAATAGGTCTCCTTCGATTCAGCACCCTTCAATTGACTCTTGGCCTCCTTCGATTGCTCAAAATGGCTGCTAGCGTGCCTCTTTCGCCTGGGCATGTGACTTCTTGTTGCAAGCTTCGTTTGTGTCTTTTGCTGCCTACATTGCTTGCCTTGAATACCAAGTTTGCTGGCCACAAGTGCCCCTTGCAAGACAAACCCTTCGATTCACCAAGCATGCTGCCTGCATGCTTGCTTTGAAAACCAATTTTTGCTTCCACAAGTGCCCCATGCAGGGCAAGCCTTTCGATTGGACAAGTATGCTCCCTGCATGCTTGCAATCGAAGGCCATGACATGCTGGCCACACGTTCCCCCTGGAAGGCAAACCTTTCGATTGGACAAAAGTACCTACATGCAAAGCTTCGATTGAAATGTTGATTCCCTTCGAATCAGCTTACTTCGAATCCAAGATGAACCATTCGAAGCAAGTTTCGTTTGAAGAAAATCTGAGGAAATCTCATAGCCTTACCCTACTTGTCAGGCTATGTTACTTCCAAATCTTCACATAACCAGAGGTTTACACAAGTTTGTGATGCATTGCCTAAGGGTTCGAAGGTTTATTCACTGGATAATACCATTCTTGGATAAATTGGCAAATGACTGTGTACCCTTTCTTCATAAAAGGTACTTTAGTATAAAATTAGCTTTCAATCTGATTTTGGTCTGAGCACAAGCAAGGCCAGAAGCATAAGTCACATCTTCTGCACCCCAACTGCCAAAAGGCCCCCCACTTGTACTTTCACGTTACATATTTTTATTATTTCTTTGCAAAGATGGCTACTACAACATGTCCACTTTTTCTCTATAAATAGAGGATTTTTTTTTTGCAAAGGCGGAAGAGATTTTTTTTACTAGAGGAACGAAACCTCCAAAATCTTATCAAACACAACAAAACTCTCAAGTCCCTTCAACACTTGTGAAATCAAAAAAACCCAGAATTACATTCACCTCCTTCGATTCTGAAGAACAAGCACACTTCAGTTTCCTTCGAATCCCAAGGAGCATCACGTTTGCTCCTCTCCTTTGAATCCGACATTCAAAGCCCAACTGTTGGCCCCTCCCTTCGAATCCAGGAGAGCCCAGGGCCACCACTCAAGGCCCAATTCATCTTCAAGGCTGCAACAAGGTAAGTTACTCTTACCCTTGCATCTTTCGTTTCAGACATAACATGTATATAATATCTTGCCTCCTTTTCGATTACACCCTTTTAATATATTTTTATGGCTAATCTTTTGTTTCTTGTTGCTTGAGTTTATTAAACATACTTTAATAATTAGTTTGGCCACAAGACAAATGCTAACATGGACTTATGCCATGTTTTTATTGATATCCCAAACGAAAGAGACAGGGAAAAAAAGACATGAAACGAAGCCTTGGGCTCATGCTGACTTCCAAGCCCCAGAAAGGCAGAATCAGAAGGCACACTTGCACTAAGTCCAGCCAGAATCGAAGGCCATGACTTACTGATTCCAGGCCCAATCGAAGAAGGTAACAAGGCAACAAGGTCGAACCAGAAGCTACACTTAGCTGCTGCTAATGCCCAATCGAAGGAGGCCAACAGAAGCAGAATCGAAGGTTGCTCCCCCCCCAATCGAAGGAGCTCATTTTTCTTCCTTTTATCTTATTTTTGCCTTTATATTTTTATGCACTTCAATATGGTTGTAATAGTGTAGGATTTATTTTTAACTTTTTATTACTTTCGTACAAATGCTAGTAATTAGGTGTGTATGGCAAGATAAAACCAACAAGTAGACAACCCAAAAATCAAAGACAAAATGCATGCAAATCAAACACACTTTACACACATGCACCCTTAGGGTAATTCCACTTGTTGCCTTACAAAAATGGTCATGTTATACATGTGGGATATCTTAGCAAAAAAAATAAAAAATACAAGACCATAGTCCCTCTATGACACTACAAATGTTGCCTTACAAATGATCTTAGTCCCTCAAAATGAAATGCTAAGACATCCTACAACATTGCTATCATGTCTATACGATGACCCACGTCCGTCCCTTTACATCCAAAGATAAGGCTTCTTACCAAATCAATGGTAAGAGCAATATCAAAGGAAAGGAAGAAATGAATAAAAGACTTTTGAGTAGGTAGATTATTTCTAGTTGCTTGCTCATTTTCAAATCAAACATCCTTGTTCATTTTCAAAACAAACACCAAACACTTTCAAAAACAAACTTTTAAAACATAAAATATTTTCAAAATTCCAACACTTTATATACGTTCTTACGAACGAGAACTATCACAAAGTTTGCCTAAACGAAGGCGCCTTTTCAAAATACTTTCAAAAACCACCACAAAGAATATTTTCAAACAAAATCAAGTGATCTAGCAAGCAACTAAGAGCCCATAGATAACTATGGATAAAAAGGATGCTAATACCTTCCCTTTTTATAATGTATCCTCCAAACTCAGAAATAATCTCAAAGGTCTTTCCTGTTCTTTTCAGCCTTTCCTTTTGGATAAAAGAAAAGTCGGCGGCGACTCTTACTATCCGCAACATTTGCGATAAAACGCAAAACACCCAAGTCAGTTCTCCCACCGTGTTACACACATGCAAAAACTTTATAGGAGAAGATAAAGTCCCTGTATGCCTCTAAATCAAAGAATAATAAATTGTTTTTATTGAATAGCTTTATAAATTTGAAGTATAAGGAAGGGACTTCTATTTCAGATCACTTGAGTGAATTTCAAGGGCTCCTTGATCATATGTCAGGAATGAGTATCAAGTTTGATGATGAACTTTTGGGATTATTCCTATTGCTATCTTTACCAGAATCTTGGGAGATGTTTCAGGTTTCTATTACAAGTTCTGCTCCTAGAGGTGTTGTTTCTTTAAAAAAGGCTAAGGGTGATATTCTTAATGAGGATATGAGAAGGAAAGCCCAAGGTTCTTCATCTCAGTCCGAGGTACTTGTCACTGAAAATAGGGGGAGAAGTCATAAAAAGGAACTGAAGGGTGGTAGAGAGAATAGCAGAAACAAGTCCAAAACACGATATAAGAATCTGGAGTGTCAATATTATCATAAAACAGGACACGTACAAAAGTATTGATATCAGTGCAAAAGAGATGACAAAGGCAAGAAAGACAAGTATAAACAAAGAGATCGTGAAAATCATGTTGATGATCGTGTTACTACTGCTACTTGTAATGATCTTGTTATTCTACGTGATCATGAGTCTGTTAGTCTCGTATCAGACAAGAGCATGTGGATAGTTGCCAGTGGTGCTACATTGCATGTTACACCAAGGAAGAATTTCTTCACATGTTATACTTCTGGTGATTTTGGAGTGTTGAAGATGGGTAATGATGGTGTATCTAAGATAATTGGTGTTGGTAATGTTTGCTTGCAAACTAACACGAGAATGCAATTGTTGCTTAGAGGTGTCAAACATGTGTCATACCTCAAATTTGTCTTACCCTTTTTACTTTATATGGCTTGTGCATCTCACATTCTTCATGTATATATTTCCCATTAGGTCACCTAACACATTGAAGCAACCCGAGAAAATAAATTTCTAAAACAAACAATAAAGTCGCCATCGGACATTTATTTATCTCGCCAAAGGGAAAGAAAAACATCGAAGAAAACCTGAAGAGGATGAAATCAAGGTCTTGCGACCAAGAGAACGGGTAAAGGAGTCGATTATGCGAGGGGAAGGTATTAGTACCCCTCACGTCTGTGGTATTCTACGAGATCCACTCTTGTTGTCTAATCTAATATGTGTGTTTAAATCTAAAGTTAGGCTGTAAAAGAAAAAAATGCATGCATGCAAAGGATTATATACAAAAAGAAAAGGTTTTATTAGCCGTGTCTGCCTCAGTTGCGAACCTTTGTGCCTACGTACCACTGTCCGTGCAATGGGGATCAAGGCACTCGTAGTTCACCTCAAAAAAATTGGTTGGTTACATGTTTTTTATGAATGATGCTATCGAAGCAATGTCCTTTTTGAAAATGTTTTAAAAGAAAAAGTCCGAAGACAAAAAGATTTGTATTGGTTAGTGTTTTTACCTTGAAAAAGGATTTAATAATGTTAGAGTATTTTGAAGTTTGAACAAAGAAAAAGAGAGTTTTAGTTTTAAGGATGCAAAAAAGAGAATGAAAAAGTCTAACAGAGACTAACAATCCTAGTGTTGTCATTCAATGATGGCCCTAAAGTTTGGATAACAAAGGGAAATCTCTACCTAAGTTAGCATGCATAGGTTACAACCTAATATCCAACTTGAATCGAAAATGAAATAAGTAATCCTAAGGGAACATGCAAAGATCAAAACCTAATGTCCAACTTGAATCGAAAACGAAATAAGTAATCCTAAGAAAACATGCAAAAGTCTAAAGAAAAACATAAACACAAGTGCAAACAAAATCGAACCGAAATAAAAAAAAAAATCATACGAGTTAACAATATTTCGAGAATTATTCTTTTAAAGAGTCTCTCTAGGGACACTAGTTATTATTTCTCAAATAAAGATAAGCAAGTTATATAGAAAAAAAATTAAACGGTTGTGTAGTCTAGAAAACATAAAAAGTGGATAGATAGATTACGTAGAAGAAGAAGATGGCATTTCGTTGTTCCTCTTCATCAGCGTCAGCACCGGCATTCATGTTCAACTCCAATCTTGTTGTGAAACAATCTTTTGCTTCAATCTCAATTTCCTTTAGAAACCCTGAATATTATCCCACTCTTACAATTAACTGCCGTGCAGCCAAATCTGTCAACAATCAGAAAAGTTCTTCTTCAAAGAAGAAGAAGAAAAAGAAAAATCCAGTTGTTGAATTTGACGGTTCAGAAAATCGCAACAAGGATTACGAAGTTTTGAGGGAATTTCCGGTGGATTCTGGTTTTCAAAATGTTGGTATAGGTTTGGATTCGTCGCTGAAGTATGATGATGATGACATGCTGTTGCCAAGGCCTCCCACTGGCTTCTTTGTGGACGATGACGGCGTTGTTTCCCTCACTTCCACCGATAGACTCGTCACGATTGTAAGCCTGTTTTTGGTTTGAGGTGTGTTTTCATTATTTCGTTTTTTTTTTTTTAACTAAGTTGTTAACAGATTGATCCTGAGAGCAACCTTCCATTGGAGTGTTTGAGTCGGAGAGTATTCAAAAGCTCTGAGAGGGATGAATGTATGTTGGTATCCCCGGTCGACACGTAAGTACTTCAAATTCCTCTCTTGCTTTGTAGGGTGCTTTTAATTAGGTAGATGATGTTGTGAGTTTTTCAAAAAAGTTAGTTAAGTTTTATTCATGTTAGGTCTTTTAAGAGTTCAGGACCAAATTGATAGGAACTGGTTAAAATATAGGGACTTAATTGATGCTAAGTGGTTAATTGTAGGAGTCAATTTGGTTTTTCTAATAGAATAAGAGACCTATTTGGAAGTGTCCTACAAAGTTAAGGACCAATTGGGTGGTTTACTACTGTTAGTTTCTTGAGCAGTGTCCCTACCCTTTCATTTTGATTATCTTTTGACTGGATATGGAATTTTTTTACCGTAGGCCTGTGTATATATTAAAGGTCACTCTTGATGGAGTGTCAGCGGTATGTTTCTGCTCTTAATTCTAAGCTTCCATTTGTATGTATATTTATTTGATGTTCCTATTTGTTGGTACTGCTGTCTGCTGCGTCTAATCTTGATTTGAATCTAGTATTTCTCAATGTTCTCTTGAATTACTATATGATGTTTAACTTGTTTCTTTTGTCAGCGGTTTAGAGGATTTACATCGTGATTTAAATTGAGTTACTTAATTTTGAGCCAAATCTTTTTGAATAGTGGCTTTAAAAATATGATATGATCTTTGTTTTGACACAGATGGCATCTTTTGATCTCATTTGCCCTCTTTTTACATCCCTAAACTAATATTAAAATATCTGCGCAACTTTGCAATTGAGATTGCAATATGTCACTGTTTATTGTGGGATGTTAAAATCTATTTGTGTTCTCTACATGTCACTCACTATTGATTTAGTTTATATAATATTGACAGATAAAAAACCATGTTAGAAACAATCGTAGTATGTAAGATTTGACTATTTTCTATCTGGAATTTGGGATTAACGGAAAAATGTGTTTCCACATACATACTAAGTTTTTATCTTTTCTTTTTCTGTTTGGTGACTCTTACCTAAATTCATGCCTTCCTTCTATGTTTTAGGTCAAAGACGATGAGGTTGAATCTGTTCTACCTGCTGCAGCTTTTGCGCTGGCCAAGATACACATGCATCTTGTTAATAGCGGGTATGTTTTAAGATTTCTTGTTATCTAGGAACTCACCCATGACATCAACTTTGTGTTTGATCTTTACAAAATATATGTCTCTCCATGTCAGGTACGTCTACACTGCACGTGGCGGTTTTTGCTACACAGAACAAGATATACTTGAATTTTACACAGGTGAGTTTTTCTTTACTTTCCCATTTTCTTTAGTACTAATGTTGAATGTTGTGGTGTTAGTTAGCAGTGTTATCAAATTTCCCCGCCATGGCGGATATACATGGCGGTTTTTGGGCTCGCCGCAATGATAAATATCAGCCGCTATTGCGGGTTTTTCTGCATTAATCCACAATAGCGGCGCCGCAAAGTGGCCGGTATGGCGGGATTTTGGCTCTCTGCCATGGACGCCATCCGCCATCGACAACACTGTTAGTTAGAATACAAAAGAAACAAATGATTTATTCACTTTGGAATATTTTCTTGTTCAGACGTGGCTGCTAATGCATTGAGATTCTACAGTTTATTAGAAGTTAGCTACATTAAGTTGTTTAGAATTTTCACACACTGTCAATTTAAAAAGTTTTACTCTGCTGACAAATCACAACCATCTATAAGTGAGATTTTGTAAATGGTTATGATAAGTCAAATATATATTTTTCTGTCCATCCTGTCACAATGCCATATATATTTTTACCAAAGTAGTGTCTATCACCCTACAAAACTGAAACATTAATATATCCAATTATTACTTGATTGTATTTTGGATTTCTTATCATAAGCTCTACAATTCTTACATGCTTCATTCCTGATTTTCATTCTTCCAAGTGCTGTGTCTGTTTGTGATTTCATTAAACAAGTGTAATACTCCTAAAGGTGAAGGGTTAATCTTTAGGTAGCTATTATAAACACATTATAACTGTGGCTTACTTCTCGAGTGATAATGTACCTCGCCACTAACTGAATTTTATGCTCAAAATATAACACAAGTTGTTATTACCCTTTTGCAGACGATGGTGAAGACATCGAAGGCTTGCCAACTGATGGTGTAGAAATTACATATTTTGAGTTGGTAATTTTATTATCTTTAACTAGACATTTACATGTTTATGAATTTGTGTCTTCTTTTAAAGGATTTGTTTTTGTTAAAAGGATTTCATCCAATTAACTTTGTTGCACTAACTTGTTTGATTGCCTGTGTTCTATTTTTAACTTCACTTGTAGGCACATTGTAAATTACAACCATAATGTATATATCATAAAGAAGTATTCTTTGCTGGTACAATAATGCATTTTTGATTATTTGTCCTCATACAATATTTAATCTTAGAAGCATAAAAATGGAACCTCTGCCCTGATACAAATTTCAGTAGAACTATGGACATAAAGATTTACCGTGTGTAGTGCTAATTTTACTTTTTCTTGTTTCCTTTTTTTAGGAAGGTACCACCTACCTAATTTATACAACATCTAAGCCACTTCAATTTGTTCTTGTGAAGGTAAGCTTCTACTTGTACAAACTTTTTGAAATGAAGCAGTGCTAATATTCTATATAATCTTGAACACCTCATTGTGTGAATACCATTTAGTGTTAAAAGTTAATTTAGCCTCCTTTTGGAGTTTGGAAGAAAGGAAAAGGAAAGGGTCCCCAACTTAAAATATATATTATGATAATTAATTTGGCCTTTTTTGTGCAGGGTGAGAATGGACTCTTTCAATTGGCTGCTGATGTAAGTAGTCAACTAGCCAATCACTACAACATTTGTTCATGATTTTCTTTCTTATTTCCAATCTTATATATCGTATATTGCATGAACCTCTTCCTTTTATTCCTTCCCTCTTTATACTAATTTTTTTTTATGGTGAGAATGCCTCTTACAAAAGCATTGTTCAGATTTGTTTGTCTTATTATTTTCTGATCTTGGCATGTGACAACATTTGTGAATAGGAGTTACTGGATGATTATGCTGTAATTGATGCCATAGACGAGGAGTGTGAGTTTAATGCATTAGTGGTATGTGATTACATTCTTTAATGAATTAGTGGTATGTGATTTCATTGTGAGCTATCATCTTTTTCTGAGTTTGACACCAACATTTCCTTTGGTTGTGTTAATCCTCCCTGTAGGTAGAAGAAGCTGCATTTATTGAAGCAATGCTGGATGATAGTGAAAATGATAGTGAAAATGATAGTGAAAATGAAATCTAATTGTTTTTAGAGCCATCACCATGGTTTAGTTAGTACTTGTTGTTTGGAAAGTAGAGATAGAATGTCCACTATCAATTTTGTATATCCTTTGTTGCTTAAGTTTAATATTCATTGTTTAGCACTTGCATCCAAAACAAAATAAAACCGTTATTAATGTAACAAGAGATGTTGAACAAATTAAAAGAGTACTATCCATATTATTTTTATGCTTATACACACATCTATAGCAAGAGATGTCGAGCAAATTAAAGACATAAATTTGTTGTCTTTCTCTTTGGGACACGTGGTTTGTCCTCAGCAGCCTTAGCATAAATCTCATCCCTCTCTTGGAAATACCTCTTGAAAGCCCTCGGAAGGAACCTTGGAATCAAGAATCCAAAGAGATTGATGGAGAAATAAACCAGATTAACCACAGCCAGAACCCTCCCAAACCAAAACCATGCCTTGTCCTGCACATGCACAAAAATTGCACCTCATTTCAAATATTCACATACTTGAATACATGAAAGTTATAAAAACATGTCACATTCATAAATGGAAATTACCTTAATGTGTGCATTTGGTGGCAAAATGATGTTGAGCCACACATCATGTATCCAATTAATATCCACAAAGATCCTTCTCACTGTATAAATCAAAGGCACCAATGCTCTCACAGGAGGTGAAAACAATGACAACCCACTAATTATATTTTCAGTGAGTATTTGAAAAGAGATTAAAAACAAGTGTGGACTTGCAGATCTCACAGCATGTTTATCTCCTCTGCCAAATCCACCCAAAACATAAGCCAGAGGCAAGAACAAACCCACTATTGTTCCAACAATAACAAAGATTCGAAAAACCTTGCTTCCATGGAAAATAGTTTGAGAAACTCCATGACTGAATGATGGAAAAACAAAACGTGAAAGTGCTAATAGATAGATAGAGACAAAGACAGGAAAGAGTAGATCAAAAAGTGGGACAAGACCACTTGCTGAGAAAACCAATACAAAAGCTACAAGTTGTAGCTCTATTACACGTAATGAACCCATCATTGTCATGCTTCCATGTTGCCTATTCTCTGTTTCATTTCTATCACCAGCCACAGCCATTGACACACCAGACATAGCTTTTCCCTAATTAATGTACCTTAACAAAGATGAACATAGTTAAATTTTTTGTCTATATTTGTTATAAGAAGAATATAGTGATATGAAAATATTTAGATAACTGAAAGTACGTAACTTACCTAGCAGCTGAACTGAACTTAAAAGGCCGTGTAATGAAAATGACAAGTTGAAAAAGGAGAGATCAGTAATAAGAAGTGAGAAAAAGACAGATTGTGGATTAGCACTACAAGTGATTCTGCACCACTGCAATATAGCATGCAAAAGAACGTGTAGAGTAGCATGTGTGACACTTGCTTTCTTCTACACGTGTGTTGGATTGTTTCTACACACGTGTCAAGTTAGCATCACACGTGTTGAATATGATATGTATCTTTTTATCCAAGTTTGAAGGTTATGTTTTAGTCGGTCTGAAAGACTGGTATATAGGTTGAAAATGTTAAATTCAGATAGAGTACAAACAATAATGAAATTAGAAACTCATACTATTTGGAGACTATTGAATATGGTTCATAGTTGAGATAATTGTTAATAATTCCGCACTGTCGTTGAGTATAATTTATATTATTGAGATAATTATGAATTGTTTAAATAATTATATATTGTTAGAGAGAATAATTTATATTGTTGAGATAATTATGGATAGAAATAATTATTTGTTGACGGAAATTAAGGATTAAAATTTTAGATAAATTAAAATCTTGTATTATATGTAATATTGTAATCAAAATACAATGCAATTCACAATATAAATAAAAGAAATTATAACTATTTTATATCGTAGATGTATGTAATTTGACCGAATTACATAAATAAAGCTTATGTGTATTTTTCTCTACTCTGATATGTAATCGCGTACTTTTCTAACAATTTGTATTAGATGACGCTTAATATTGGAGGTGTTAAATTCGAAGTGACTCGGTTCGAAGGAACACGCAATTTTTTATGGCAAAGAAGGGTTAAGGATTTGTTGGCTCAACAAGATTTACATCAGACGTTTCGTGATGAGAAATCGATAGACATCACAACTATTGATTGGAATGAGATGAAGGAGAAGGTCGTAGGTTTGATAAGACTATGTGTTTTTGATGACGTAATGAATCATAACCTGAACCTCACAACTCCGAAGAATGTCTGAAATAAATTTGAAAATCAGTACACGTCCAAGACGTTCATGAACAAATTGTTCGTGAAGCAACGTCTCTATAGTCTGAAGATGCAGGAAGAAGGTGATTTGCAGGCTCATGTCAACGTTCTCAACAACATCTTCATTAATTTGACACAGTTCGATGTGAAGGTTGACAATGAGAATAAATCCATTATTTTTGCGCTCTTTACTAGGCTCTTATGACCACTTGGTGACCACTCTCACATACGAGAAGGAAACAATCATATGCTGGATTTTATTTCTTCTTCTCTTTTGCAACATGCACAACGTCTCTAAAGTGTAAAGGAAGGTGGAGGAAGTCCATGTGAAGGTTTATTTGTGAAAGGAAGTCAGGATCGTGGCAGGGGCAAGTCTAAGGCAATGGGTTCTGAAAAGAAAAAGAATTTCAAGTCCAAGGATAGAAAAACAACATAATGTTATGTCTGCAGGAAAATTGGTCATTGGAAGATGGACTGTCCAAACAAGTCAGTCATCACTAGTTCAACAAATGTAGTTCAATCTGATGGCTCATGTAATGAAGAGGACCTGTGTTAGACGATGACAACTTATCTAGAGAGGAGTGAATATATTCCAAGTTAAAAACTTTTGAAAAATTAGTTTTAAAAATTTTGGCAAGCGGAAAACCACCCGGATCAACTATCGTCTATTCAGAACCGTTATTGAAAAGCTCGAATGTGCGTTAAATCAATGTGATATGATATGATAATGATAATCAATTAAGATAATATATTTTCACAACCAACACGTTGAATGTTAACACAATCGAAACGTAATTCCAATGAAATCAAATTAACAAAACACAACGAGACAAATTTTCAAACACTTGGTGTGCAATTTGATATTTCAGATTTTCCTTTTGACTTTGTTGATATGAAACTCAACTACAATCTTAAGAATTATAGTCTAATCAACAAAGCAATTTCAAGCTTGATAACCAAGAATTTTTCTATACGTATCAATTTGGAGAATCAATGAATTTAACAATTTGCGATTAAACATAAAGTAGAGAAGTAAAAATATAGACTGAGAGAGGGAGGACACGAGGATTTGTTTAGACAATTTACCAATTGTCCTTGCTATGACTATGTTTGCCCTCAATTTCGTTCGAAATTGAAATAATCAATCTTACTTTGCAAAAAATCATTTAAAAGAGAAATATAGCAATCCAACACTACAAACCCTATGTTTGATGTTGATCCTAACATTCTCTCTTCCCTTGATCCGAGCTTGATCAAGTCACCCACAAAGCTAATTTGATTAAACGTCTTACGCTACTCCTTTGCAAGGAACCACCATTCTTCAAAGCTTTCACTTGACCGAATCCAAATTGCGAATGGTTGTCACCTAAGATTTCCAATCAATTCACCGTCTTATGCTACTCCTTTGCAAGAACCCCCATTTTTCAAAGCTTTCACTTGATCAAATTCGAATTGTGAAATATTGTTATAACCCCCTAATCAACAATTTGATCTTGATGGAAAGCCCTCACATTTTTTTATGGATGAACACCCCAAAAGATTCTCAACCCAATTTACAATTCAACAACCTAAATTAGACGTTATCAACTCTGATTCTAGATGGCACCCAAAGAAAAAATTATCATGTGTAATTTGTTTGTGTGTATGCTAGAACATGACAGAGGAGGACGAAGAACAATCTTCGCATATTTATGGTTTCATCAACTTTTGAATGATGTATCTATGAGATACATATGTGTGCAAGTTGGAGGCAAAAAGGAATTCAAAAGGTTTAAGAAAAAATACAAATTTTCTGTATTTTTAATGCACGTGTCGACCTCTATATGTCATTGTAACGGTAGAAATGTTGAGACTAAGCTATTGGATTGACTTAACTCGCACAGATAAAATAAAAGTCTCCACCGCACTTTATTGTTTCTAAAGGAAATGGGAGAAGAGCGAATAAACCCAAAAAGAGGGGGATATAATCTAGGTACGGGGGTTGGTTATGCAAAGGGAAGGTATTAGCACCCTAAACATCTACGGTACTCCGCAAGAACCTCTTTGAAAATCTGTGTATTTTGGTTATTAAAGGTGTACACAAAAATAGATGATGGAGATGAGAAAATAAGTATTTTTTACAATTTTTGCACCCATCGCGGCTGTGAACCTTTAGGGCCTATATACCTCCTTCCGTGCAATAGGGGATCAAGGTACTCGTAGTTCACCTTAAAAATTTTAAAACACAAGTGTATTGGTTAATTTTAAGAGAAGAGACATCATCGTCATATCCAAGTGGAAAACATACTTACTACTCACGTTTATGAGAAAGGAGAATTTGCATCATTTCAAAGTAGAGGATATAGCTTGGATTTTAAAATCAACCAAGCCTCACTCAACACCCAAGTGGAAAATATCTCACTTTACTACATATCGTGGAAGTATAGTAGCTCGCGTCACTACAAGAGTCAACAAAAGTCTAATCTTTTGAGAAAAAGTTTTTAAAGTAAAAAGTCCAAAGTGGAAAAATAGTTTGAATGAGGTTAGTTGACTTTTATTCTTGAGAAAGATGTCAAAGTATGGTTAAATTTATTAATGTTTTCTTAAGAAAATATTTTTGAAAATGCATGGACCTAAGTCCAAGTTTAATGTGAAAGTGGTTCAAGTTAGAAAATAAGAAGATTTTTGAAAAGGAGGGAGAAGATTTTTGAAATTAAAGAAGATATGAGGAGATGAAGGGACTATCCTAAAGCATAAGGTAAAAGTCAAGGAAAAGAGCGATCTAACCAACAAGAAGCCAACACTTGACATATAAAGTCAATGTAGAATTTCCATCCTTTGGATTGAAACCAAACAAGCAAAAAATATTAAACCTCTGAGAAATACCAAGCTTCAGATGATTTAAGTCTTCACAAAAATTAGGCAGAGTAACAATTGTATATAGAGGAACTCTTAGTCACAGACAAAGCATATAATCAGAACAACCTGCACACAAATAAAATCAACCCAATGTCTTGGGGTAAACCCCAAGAATATCATACAAAATAATAATAGAGCAACAAGGTCCCCAAGTATCAAGGCTTCTAATCCTAAGTCCAAGAGATCCACAAGTCCATAATGCCAAGGATAGTAACCAAATAGTCCAAGTAACCTTAAGGAATTTTATTGTTCAAGTTGATTATTAAATATCTTTAAAATAAAATAAAAGCTCAAATGAGCAAAGATAAAATAGCATAAAGATAAATGCTCAAGTGAGCATAAGAAAAATGGTATGGAATGTAAATGCTAAAATAAATGGTGCGTAAAAGTAAAGACACAAAAATAAAGGCATAAAGTAAAGGCATAAAGTAAAGTTAATTGTTAGTGAATTAGAAGTTATAAGTCAAGTTGAATGACCATCTTGAAGCTTGCTTTTGAAAACTCATTAGAAGATTAATAAAATCAAAGCTTCTCAACAACAAGTTTCAATTGCTTTTTTTGTCAAGTATATCATTCATTTCAAGTGCTCAAAGCAACCACATACGATCAATGATGTTCAAATTATTTACTTAGACCAAATTTTATGAGGTTTATTAGAGGATTAATAGAACCAAAGCCTCCTAACAATGAACTTCAAAGTTATTGAATCAAAGGTTTCAAACTAAACATACTTGGGCTTGCAAACATAGGTTTAGGCCACGAATGATCATTTTTCTAATTGAAACAAATTTAGCACTATGTTAAGCAATCGTAAATGAACTTACGTAGAAGTCACACCTATTTTGAGGCCAATCAATAGCAATCTATGTACCAACATGTTAGAGAAATGATATGTAGATAATTCTCCAAAAATATGTAGTGCAAGTAAAAATAAGAAAGGGATAAGAGGAGGACGG